CAATCTCATTGTGCAAATTGAGTGTGAGTAGCTAATTTCTATGGTGATGGATTAGTGAAGTGTTAATTTTAACGATTTTGGACAGAGGTACGTTTGGTGAGCTTCGATCCTAGGTAGAGATCAGAGCGGTGAACCTGAGAGTTCACACTTTGGTTCCAGATGCATTTAGTCAAGTTGTTGAGTCTCATTGCATTGCATTTGTGTGATGTTGTTATGTTGGTGGCATGAAATGTGTTGTTGGAATGTATGTTGTGCTTGTAATAATTTGTTGCTCACTTATTATCATGCATTCTTTTATATAATTATGATATCTCACCCCTTTTGTTTGAATTTTACCTCTATGTGGGTAACATGCAAATACTCAAGAGTAGTTTGGCGTTGAAGTGAGTGGATTATGGAGTCTTCCTTTTGTTTTATAGAGTCAGAGTCTGCTTTGATGTGTAACACCGGAGGGATGGAACGTTTTTATGTTGTTTATGTATGTGGGAGATTAATTGGAATCTCTTGAATTGTTATTGTTATGTTTATTTTAAAAACATGATTATGCTCGGAATTATCAAACTGTCAAGTTTTTGATGTTTTCCGCTGCAATAAAATTTGAAGTTCCAGACATGTTTTATTGTTATAATTATTTTAATAATTTTTTAAATAGAAAGTGTTACATATCCGATTACATGATCAGGTTTTGTTGAATTATGACATCCTAAATATTTATGTGTTAATTTTACTCTGATAATTATTATAAAACACGTGGGGGATATTTAGGGTGTTGCATAGCATGCGTAGCTTAAGATAACATATAAAGAACCACGAAACAACAATAAAAATCTTCAATATGCAAATACAATGGTTTGAAGACATGGAAATATTGTGTAAACATCACCAAACTATGCTTATTGCAAGTAAACTCCTAAGTAACTTGGAAAATGGTACAAAACACCAAAGCGCAAGATCTTATTATGAAAAAATCATATAAATGTTAAAATTCTTGGGATATGGTTCCAGGATGGGGGAGATATCATATATGGATCAAACATCAAGCAGATAGTGAATTGCGCTTGAATGAAGTAAAAGGCAACCAAAAGCATTAGTCCCGAAAGGAAACATCATACATGGGGAACTAGCATAAGGGAAACCATATGAATATTTGGCCATTTGGGTCGAGAAGAACCATGGCCCAATCCTCAAGTTTTTCATACGATATATGAGTATCAAAGCACCACAAGCCATATGAACCATAATATAAAAACCCATAACCTAGATACATTTTATTTAAGCCGACTCCCAAGTGTCTCATTTTTTTCGGGATGCAGAAACCACCGAGAGGGAACTACAAAAAAATACCTATGATTACCTATTCAAGAAGAATGGTATATCAGAGAAATATTTCCCCAGAAAAACCCTAAAAATCGCAAGTTTTTTAGCAAAATATTATATAGTAACTCTATGAATTCTAAGTTCCCAACAAACTTCTATGTAAAAATCCTAAAATTTTTGGTTTCCTACAAAACCCTATGTAGAAACTCTAAAAATTACAATACCAATAAAAACTCCATAACAAGGGAAGTAAAAAGAAAATTGGCAATAACACATAGAGCCAAGAAAACATGAAGAAGGTGTAATAAATCTTCAATATGAAGAGAGAAAAAGTAAGGAAACACAACAAACAAATTCACCACATAAGGTAAAAGCATGAAGACGAAGTAGCAAGAGTAGTGGAGAATGTTGAACTCGAAAAATGCTAAGAAAGTTCAAAGTTCAAAATGGAAAAAGAAAACTTTAGTAATAAAAGATCCCTAAGCATTAAATGACAACCACAGATCAACACTTGGCACAAGCAATTGTGTACAACTTCATTTTCCATACCACAATGATTACACTCACAACATTGAAAAAAGAACACCCATTAAATGTGCCTTTCACCTATGAACTTCAGGAGCTTTTTGGAAAGTATGTTATGTCATACATAACGAAAACAACCAGGAAAAGAGAATGACCCAATTGACCTTTGAAACAAATGACGGTTCTCCCCCTAAACATCCTCCAAGAAGTGGCCTAGAGATTAGTACATAAATCTATCTCATGGATTAAAATTGAATGACAACAAACATGTCTTCGACAAGTTGTATCTGAATAAATCTCCCCCCATAACAATACATCAAGAGGCAGTTTCTCCAAACTCATGCATAAAAGAAATAAATATAAGATAAACAGATAAACTCGAAACCTCAGCTAGTCCAACAAAGTGTAGGCCAGGATGATCTAAGATTGCAAGTCACACCTTAACTATGTTGGGCTAAGCTTGTGGGAAACTCTTCCTACCAGGACTGTAGCGATGTTCATGGTCCAATAACACGTATAGCCAAATAGCTTGCAACCCAATAACAAGACAATAAAATCAAGAGGCCAATCAAATCGACACGCTACGATGATGTCATACCAGTGACGCAAGATAAAAATATCATACCCTCAGCTACAAACCCAAAAAATGTTCGATAACCTCATGAATAAGTTTGGAATTTCCTTAGAATAGCACTTGATCTTAGCAAATGATTGAAGAAGGACTATCCTGTTACATAACAAATTATACTCTAACATATGTTTGTTTGGATAATGATCTTACATTTGAAGATTCTAAACCTTCATAAAACCTATAAATCTCCTATGAAAGGAGCAGTGAAGCATGAAATCAAAGTCCACACTTTTTAAACCTAGAATATCTCTCACATCAGATAAAACTTAACTGATGTAGAAGTGTCTGCGGCCACCCATATTGAGGTAATAGATCACAAGCAACATCATTTTCCAAAATTACCCTTATTTGACCACCTCCACAACCACATAAATGATTCTTTACCGGAAAGATCATTATCTAAGTTGGTTTGTCATACTCATCCTACTTTAGACTAGTTGATGGCAAGATAGGTCAAAATGAAGTGAGTTTATTCGATTTACTACCTTATGATGATTTATTTACAATTCAAAATTATTGTAAAATTTTATTCACCAAATAATATTTTTCACAAATATGTTGATAATTGAAGAGAAAACTATGATTTCTACTATAATTGTTTTTCTGACTATACTCGTATTCAACTTTTTTTCTTACTATAATTTTCTTATGTTTCAAAACTATTTTAAAATCCTAATATCAAATATTATGAACTTTTTTTCCAACTATAATCATAATTGAATTGAAAACTATGATGCAATTAATGATGATTTTTTTAACTATACTCATACAAAAAAAATGAATGTTTTTTTACTTATAAATTATTAAAAAAAAAAAAACTCAATCCAACACAAATATTTATCCTATAGCAAGTAGATTTTACTGTTTAAGAAAATATGAAACAACAAAAAATATGTTATAAATTATTTTCTTAAGCTTAAAATTTGTTTATGAAAATAGTTTATAATTCATACAAATATAACTCAATTTAATTTAATCAAATTATATATATATATATATATATATATATATATATATATATATATATATATATATATATATATATATATATATATATATATATATATATATATATATATTGATTCTATAAACTGCAAATTAAATTATTATTTATTTAAAGAAGACATTACTTTCTACTATGAGTAAATAAATTGAAACTCTTTCCTTTTTTACTTAGAAAAGGATGACAAACGAAAATGACCGCCTCGTTTTGACTATTTCGCAAAAGTCTAGAGAAAAATATGATAGGATCGACATTATAGAGAAGACGACCGAAAAACTTTGCTTCGTCCCACCAAAAAAAGGGACGGATCCTATATTCCTAAAATTTAAAAGTGGCAACAATTTATGATTGTCTCATTAATGTGCGTCTTCCCAAAAAATTAGGGCAGAGCAAACTTAATAAAGGATATGGATCTAAAACTTTGACTCGATCAGCAAAAATTTATGGACAAAACAAACATGTTTGGTGACCGGACCCGTTTTTCCATCCATAATCCTTAACCTTGTCATTTTTACCGATCAACGATTTTAGTGTAGGTCGCGTTTTTCCATCCATAATCCTTAACCTTGTCATTTTTACCAATCAACGATTTCAGTGTAGGTCGATGAGGAAAAAGAAGAAACTAGACAGCAACACTAACAAATTATATCTGATTATCATCAATTATGCAATAAATTAGACAATTGGTTCGAATCCATGTGATATAAATATTTGTATGTAGTTTCTGACACGCCTCAAATATCATTCTGCAGAAGAAATCCTTTACAAAAAACTAAAAGTGCACACTAGGAAAATCAACATCTGACTCAACATGAACCAGTGTGACTCACCATTTGGACCCAGTGTCATGCTGCCTATGCAAGCAAATGGATTCCACTCAACAAAAAAAAAAAACAGATGACATTAAAAAAATAACTGTCTATCTCTTTTCATAAACATTCATAAATTTGATTAGGACTTTATTTATTTGTATCTAGAGTTGAATCTATGAAGAGAGCACAGCAATTATTATCACATATCTTTATCAACTATCCAGATTTGACTCTTCTAAGCCAGTGGGGAGCCAGGAGAAAAAAATGTTCATGTTTCAACACATTCATCATTTATTATATATAGGTGTATCTGATATCAATTATTAATTGATTTATGAGTCATCTATATTATTAGTATTACTTAAACTATACTCTAAAGTCAACATTCTCATCTTTTTGCTAGGAGGAGTGTTTTAAGTTGGCACTCCACACCTACTTGGAGGACAGTATTATTGAAAAACTCGTTTAATTCAGCAGTATCTTCTTCTCCGAACTATTTGAATCATTTGACTGAAATTCCAAAACTGATTCATCCTCTATGAATTGTCAACTAGTTTAATCAATGATCTGGCTTCAAATCTACTTATGATCAAAATGGGCATTTTTGCCATTTCGTTAAAATTAATTTAGTTTTGCCTCTGTCATTGCTACAGCTTCTCTGACCTCATATTAAAGTGTGACAGACCAACCTGCATAAGGGAACAAACTAAATTTTCAGCCCCTTGTCTTTCCTACTGTCTTATTTGGAATTTTCAGTCTCTCATACGATAACATGGCGGTTCGATATTCAAGACTCTCCCTTCTTCTGATCTTAATGATCATCATACTTTTGACTAGCCAACTCTCAAGTTGCAGCGACGCCACGAGATGGGCGAGTAAGGGAATCAAGCAAACAGAAAAGAAAAACTCTTTTCGTCGGTTCTCAAGTTCAATGCAATTCTATACAAAGACACAACAGGTACCCGACACAGAAGAGGTCCATCCGATTTATGGAGTTTCTCTACATGATGTTCCAGGAGGTCCAAACCCGCTTCATAACTAATCATCTATCTAGCTATCATCTGTTTATCAAGTTATACAAGGTTTTGCTGGTTTTGTGTATGAAGTTAGTTTAGTTTCCTAGAAAAGATGTAGAATAGATATAGTTTGAGAGGATAACGATCCTAGAAAACTATACTTGATACAATTGAAATATATGATGTATTTATGCATAAATGTTCTTCGAAATTTCCAAACGTAAATTATATAGAAAAGGTTTTCGCAGCCGTGTTTCAGAATGTTGGTGTCAATTATAGTCATAGTTCATAGCAACAGAACACGTGAGTGGAAATTGAATGCAGGAAATAACCTTCATCCTTGTTCCTAGAAAAGAAGAGGAAACCAAGTCTTATTTCATGTATGAGAAACATGTTTGCTACATAAAACATATGGCAGAAAGTTACGAGTAAAATCTTACATAAATTATCCTCACTACATAAGCTCGGTTCCCACTGGATCAACCGAGAAATGAAGAGACAGTGATTTCAGAACAATAGGCTGGAGCTTCAATATCCATACCTGTTTACCGAATCCAAATATAGTTTAGTTTATATTCTTGTTGTGCTTGTTCTCAAGATATAAACGCACTATAGGTAACAAACAGCAACCTAAGCATAAAGTAATGTTTAAGAAACAAAAAGTTAGATTCCTTACATTTTTGTATTCTTGACTGCGTAAAAATATCTTGAATGCCTCAACTGCAGAAGATGCCATCATGCACAAGAACGGGTTAACACGGCCAAAGTGAGAAGAAGAAAAAAAACAGACATAACAGCCTATGAGACTGAGATCACCTGATCGAAATCGGATCACTACTCCATGAGTATACTCCTTAGAGCTTTCATTGAAATTCAAACCTGACAATAAAATAATACATGAACTGTTGATGAGCCAACAAACCATGCTAAAAAAATTGAGTTATGCATTGGTGGAACTGAAAACATACCTTGCGTAAATTGTACTATCAAGGAAGGAGATTCTAACATCACTGTTGCCAGAGACGCCAATGCATGTTCGACCTTGTTATCTAAGGCATCCTCATTAAATGATAACAAAAGAACGAACTCCACTCCATGGCTAAACTCCTGGCCACAAAATTCATTTGATTATCTAACGAATCTACAAGCCCTACGTTACAGCGAAATATGAATTGAGCAATGATGATGAACCCTTCAATTTATAAATCCAGAGGAGAAAAAGTAAATGAGTACCAACCTCTCCCTTGCGAAAAATAGAAAGCATGTCATCATCGACTTCAGATTCATAATCCACATTAATTAATCCCTAAACAAAATCAGTTAAGAACCAAGTTAAAACATTCACAGCAAGGTTGACTCAAGAGTAACAGAAAAACAAAGGAACAGAGAGAGTCGGTGTTTACATGTTGGTGCATACATGGCAGTAAGTCATTACGTGGTCCTTGAGAACCTTCGAGTAAAAGGAATTCTCATAGAACTTTTCAAGGTTTTCCTTCTTCTGAAACCGCATGTACAAAGCATGAGTATAGTGGTCTGGATTCTGAGCTGAAACGCGCCCTGCAGAATCAACAAGGACATCATCATTTGAAAAAGCGCTCCTTCACAAAATAAAACACTCCGTGGCATATAAACCAATGTAGGTCGTTGTTTGATATAATTGTAATTATAATAAATATTAAACTAAGGTACAATTTACCTAATGAAATTGCAATAATACCACCCATTTGATACTGGGTTGTATACAAATAATCAAGCATGTCATTCTCTTCCTCTTCAGACAGAGCCTCTTTTGCTTTGAGCAGACAAATGTGCTCCACAACTTTTCTTCTACACCAAATTTAAACACTAATCATATTCCTAATCACAGTAAAAACAAGGAATTCAAGCTAATTATAAATTGAGGACCTTTTCCTGTGAGAATCAAAGTTAGAATTTCGGTCCTCGGCCCCACAGAATACAGCAATCTGATTCTTTGGTTGGGTCTTGAATCTGTTCCACTTGCAAGCTGGAAAAGAAATTCAACTCAAATTAATGCAATAACTAACAATAATATCCCATTAAAATGAGATGTCAATGGAGTTGAACAAATTAATCTAACAAACTCACTTTGAAAAGATGGGGCGGTTGGGGAGAATTGATGAGGGACACAACAAGAATAGACATAGCTTGAGCATTGCATTGCAAAACCCATTATTCTTGGTGTCTTCAATTTTCACTGCTTTTTTTGGTTCCTCAATAAAGTGAAAGATATTACGATTCTTCTTCACATAAACAAGAAAAATGGGTGGACCAGGATTGGAATAAACAACACCTTTCGTTTTTTTTAATTTTAAATGCCACGTGTGAATCAATGGCCTATCTTATATTTGTATCATTCTGTGCCACACATGTCAACATTCATCCTCCAAATTTTTCTTTCATTTTTCTCTAAACAAGTTTCTTTTACATGACCATGATATAGTATGAACCATCTTTATCAATGATCAAAACAATTGTTTGGGGCGAAAATCGCGTTGCGAAGATTACTCACCATTTTATTTTTGTTTATTATTCAATTCGATGCTATTATTACTATATGCCCAGCAGTGTTTTTACTAAGGCTAAATAAGTTAGCTTCTGTACGAGTGAGAGAAATACTTTAATAAGACCTGAAAAGAAAATATTAAACAATGCTTTTTAAAATACACAGAATCACAATTTATTTCTAGAATTGTTCATATAGATCAAACTAGTCCAGTCCATAAGCTACAGCCTTGATGTACAAAGATTAAAAACATATATCAAGAGTAGGGAAGAGAGCAATAAGAACTCCTGAATATTTTTCAACCTGCTGATCTAACTTAGGCTAACAAATTATCTACTTGACCTAATGCAGCACTTGCAAACTTGCAGTGAGTTGATCACGAATTGTTTAGGTTCCGAAAAAGCTCTGGAAGATGGGAATTGGTCAGCTTGGTTCTCTTGGTGATTTCATTCTTCTTCTTCTTAGGCTTGGGCTTGGAAGAAGGGCCATCAATTTGTGCTGCACTCCTCCTCTTTGCAGTGTTGGTAGCAGGCTTCATTCCATTCTTTTGAAGATCCTTCTCTATATCAATCATGTCACGAGGCAACTCAATACTCCGGAATAGCTGTTTTAGGTCATCATCCACCTTAATGTTTGCTTTGGGGTCATTCGGGTACGCAACATCTTCCTGTGAATCGAAGTTGGCAAGCAGCCAAATCTGCCCTGCAGCTTTCAAAGCCTGTAAACCAATATCTTTATGAGGTCCTATTCCATGAGAAGCAAAATATTTACTGGATTTTGACTCTTAACATCATCAAATAATTTCATACTTATTTCCATATTTCAAGGAAAAACATTTTTTAAAAAATCAGTCTTTCATTAATGTATCAGTATTATCGTTTAAACATTGATGAGAATAATGGTCTTTGAAAAATGAAATGACAAAACAAATGCATGGGGAGTGAATGAAAAAGGTAGCAGGAAAGGTTGAACCACATCTCACCTTGCATCTTAATGAGCAACATTTTATAATGACTATTTAAAAGATGCTTTCATTTCCTAGGTACTAACCTTAATCAATAATATTGGCAACGGTTAAATGTCAAGGGTTAGAAGAAAGTGGTAAATGATTTTATAAAAACCCAATAATGTGCAATGGTAACATAACAATTGATCTTCCTCCAAAGGTAATAATAGTAGTTCGGTTCATATTTCTACCAAAATACATTGTGCATATAGGGATTTAGTGCGCTCTAAAGTGAGTAAGTACTATGGTGAGAAAATCAAAGGTTGATATTGTATACACTTTACTCTTTAAAGTGACTTGCTCCTGGAAAAATAGTGTCGAGAAAGAAATGTCCTTCAAAGAAAAGGAAACAGCCCTAACAGAAGTCATTCTACCTGTAAGTCTTCCATCACAGAGGGATAAGCATCCTTTAGGTCAATAACAGCAATGCCCTCTGGATACTTACGTACCAGTTGAAGAAGCTCAGTTTTATCCTTAAGGCCATACTTTGCCTAATAAAGACAGAATACAACCAACAGATGAAGAAGTTATTTGCTAAAGGATAGCTAAATATAAAATTGTTTAGATATATATGAACCTGTAAAAGTTACCTTGTAAGAGAATCGTTGCCCGTCATAGTATACTTTTGGGTTTTTCCTCAGATTGTCAAAAACATCTTTGTTAGCCCGCATGTCAACATAGCATACTTCATTAATTTGCTCTGGAGTATATGCCTTCCGCGTCTGTCAGAATACGAAAGCCCCAAATCAATATGGTTTTGAGAAATCAATTCCTAATTATGGACTTTCTTTGGTAAGTTATCTTAAGTAGCACGACTTTCATATGAAAATTTCAACTAAGTTAAATAGAACCAACATAACACTCATCAAACCCCAAAATATCTTGAAGATGGCAAAGAGTTAAGCATGACTACGCATCGCGTAGATTGTTATGACTTACTCAATGTTTCCGGGATACAATATCAAAAATAAGTACCAAACCGTTCTACCCAAGTGATATGCAAATGAAATTATGACAAGATTGGGATTTTAACAAATTAACCCTATATGGAATTTATTTACAAACTGGCCCCATGGCAGAAAGCCAAAATCCCGCCAAACTAGCCGTTTTGCGGCGCCGTCATAGCAGAATATGGAAGAAAAACCAACAATATCATTCAATATTTACCATTGCGGCGAGCCCCAAAACTTCCACTAATATCAACCATGGCCAATATTCAATAACATTGGTTTGCATTAGAAATGAATTCAACAGAACTGCGAGGCATCGCGATTACACTTTGAAGCTTCAACAAATCAATGGTGACACCGTGAATTCATAAAACACACCACCCATCCAAACATAAAGTATTGGTGTCCCAACTGTCTGCAAGTTCCCTTTTCATTTCAATTAGCATACGGTGACTCAAATTGTTAACACACCTAGCGGGATTCAACCTTAGACTTTGAGAGGAGTACACTCTCAGGACCCAAGCCTCCACCAACAGGCCAACCCCTGGGTTTAATAGCTAGGCTTATTATACATGATATGTAAAAATAGTGTAGGTATTCCAATAGAATTCACTTTTTTACCTTCATCTTATGCATCTCAATCACTACATTAGCACCACCAGTAACTAACAATACAAGAAAATAAATAAACCGCACAATCCAACTAAATGAGAAAACACCAAAACTACCTCAAGCAAAAGATCAATAACACGCTTCATCTGAGCACCAACAGGAGCTTTACGTATACTATTAATCTGCTGAAGCCTCTCCGTGTCTTTGGAGAATTTGACACCAGTAGTCTGATTTCTCCCATTGATCGACGCATGTGCAGCAACTGGATTACTAGGTTTTCTACCACCAACCTGGCTCCCCGCAATGCTCGAAAGCGTCGATTGACACTTCTCTTGCTGTTTCTTGAACCTATCCAATTGTCCTTGCAAAGACATCTCTTACCAAATCAAATGTTCGAAATCACACAAACAACAACTTCACCTGCATAACAATTTTTTTTCAATTCACTCATTATCAATAAAATTTTTGAAAGACACGTAAATATATCGACGAAACCCTAAGATTTTAGAGAATGTAAAGTGTGTCATGAATATTGCAGTGTTCTGAAAATGTAGTGATGGATTGTGCAAGATGGTGTTGAATGATTGAAGAGGAAATGGAAGAGAGAACGAACCGTGCAGGGAGAAAGATGGAGTGTGGCGCAGCTTTGTTTATTAGAGAGTTGGGTTTTTGTACTTTGTTTCTTTCTCAGCAATCCAATCTAGCATGCACTTACAACTTATAACACTCTCAACTGTCAACTTCAAGTCATTGAGAGAGCCGACTATCCGGAATACTTAACCTAGTTTATTTTGTTTTATTTAATATATTTATTATAAATTTCACTTTTAATATTATCCTAACTATTAAAAAACTCGGGTTATCACTCGAGTCCCGTCTGACTTTGCATCAGATGTCTAATAAATTATTACTTGTAAAGTTTGAATTTATTTTTCAATTGATTAATGTTCACATAGTTACAAGAGAAAAGATGGACAATACAGTGAACAATTTGTTCTGGACTGGGCCCGACAGGCCCAAAAGCATTGCAAAGGCCCAGTCCAAATGGACTAACAAGGGTCACGCCGATCAAAGAGTGAGACCGTGCCCGACGCGCAGTCGCTGGCTCGACGATACGCCTCCAGCTCGACATGAGGTGGTCCAGCGCCACATTCTGAGGACCAGCTCGACGTTACCTCGAGCACCCCAGCTAGGGCAGACTTAGTCCACTGTTCCCCCAACGGTACTCCGAAAAGACCGCGTCTCCGTCCGCCCGCACTTCACGCAGAACATCCAGGAAGGGGACCACGTGCGGGTCCCCACTACGCACGTAGAACCTGGCAGTTCCTCCATTGGGCCAAACCTGCCCGACCCAATGAAGGAACCTTGGCCCAGCGCTGGGGGCTATAAATACCCTCTGCTCCCAGAGGGTCAGGTATTCATCATTCTAACCTTATACTTGCTATTATCATCTCGTACTCCTACTTACTTCAGCATCGGAGTGCCTTGCAGGTACCCCCCCCCCCCCACCTCGTTCAAAAAAGCTTTCTGCTCGGAGCCAGCCGTGACAGTCCATTTCTGATCAGGTCAGATCAGTGGCGCCGTCTGTGGGAACTAGCTTCCCCGTCTAACGAACAATTCTAAATACCAAAGCTCAATTCAACTACCTGTCATGGCTGATCCAGCTCGCGACGAGCAGCCCGTCCGTGTCGCCGACACTAATAACGGTACCGCGGACAAGAATGGACACCTCGATAACCCCGGGGATCCCGGCCTCAGTACCATCCCTGTGACAACCGCCCCTGGACCTTCCTCCTACAAGGACGGGGCTACTGCATCATCCTCTTCGACCCCTCCAGCACTCGAAGACGACCCGGTAGCTCTCGCTCATTACAGAGCTGCCCGGTTCTATGAAGTCCCAGTTCCCGCCGGGGCAGATGCCACGACTCAGGCACTGTTCGCGGCCATCAATCAGACGAACTATCTCATCTTCGCCCAAGGAGAAAGATTAAGGGCACTTGAAGATGATCGACGACCCCCGAGGAGGCATCGGAGGCCACACTCTCCACCTCCTCGGGTCACAGAAGTTCGACACCCTTCTCCCCCGCGGAGACACTACAGAGAGAACTCCAGGAGCCCCTCTCCCCGGCCAAAGCAGAGGCGGCCCTACTATGAGAGGCGGCCCGCCGTCACTGCCGGAGAACCCAGTCGCGACCCATCAAGGCACGACAAGAGGCACGCCGGGGACGGGCGTGTGACCTTCAACCACCGAGCATCACGCTCGAGGGAAACTCAGCACGATCATCGTGCCAGACATAACTACAGGACCCCTTCTCTTTCTCTGGAGAGGAGCGACGAGGACGACCCCCGCGGTCCCCTGTCGCAGGCCATCATGGATGCACCCATCCCCCCGGGCATGGAGAAGCCCCCGCACCTGAAGGAGTATGACGGAGTAGCGGACCCGGTCGACCACATTGACGGGTTCGAAGCCATGCTCCACTATCATAATGTCGGGGGGCCCATCAAGTGTCGTCTTTTCCCCACGACTCTCAGGAAGGCGGCCATGGACTGGTATAAAGGACTCGCCACGGGCTCAATTACGTCATGGCGGAACCTGAAGAACCAGTTCATTAGTTCCTTCACAGCTTCTCGGCGCCATCCGAAGACCGAGGCGGCCCTCGAGGCCATCATCCAAAGACAGGATGAAACCTTGAGGGAATTCATCAACTGCTTCAACCGGGAAGCAATACAGGTCCCCTGCGCAGACCATATGAAAAGATACTTGCTGGAGAGGGGTCTCCTCCCCGGCACGGAATTCAGAAAGGCTGTGGGTATTGAGCCACCTCCAACTTTTGATGCCCTCCTCGACAAGGCCCGAGCATACATGGACTACGAGGAGAGGTAAGCTGCCAACAGGGCCCGAGACTCCAGGGCTCGCGCTCCCAACAACAGCAGCAGCTCACGACAAGAGCCTCCTCCCCGACGTACCGGGGAGAAAAGGAAAGAAGATCGACCCCGGGAAGTCCGGGAACAAAGGGGCCCCTCGGGCCGCTTCACCGAGTACACTCCGCTCACGGCTTCCCGCGAGCGTATTTTGGCAGAGTGTGCCAGTACAGATTTTAGAGACGGTAGCGTCAAGCGTCCCCGACCTGCTCCCGCCAAGCCAGGGGCAGATAAAAATAAATACTGTCAATACCATAGGAGTCATGGTCATTTGACAGAGGATTGCGTCCACCTCAAGGACGCCATTGAAACCCTCATCAAGGGAGGGAGGCTCGCACAGTACAGGCGAAACGACGCTCCCCGTCGTGACGCCCATGAAACCAAGGAGCCCGAAGAAGACGCCCGACCATCAGACGAGTCGGTGCCTATCCAGACCGCCTTCTCGGTAACCAGGCCCGAGGATTTCGACGTTCCCGAGCTCCTGCAAGAGCCCCTGACAACACACAGCCGGTGGGAATACTTCCCATCCGCCATGGTCATCAACGGGGGCGGGTTCAACGACCTCACCATCAACTCAGCTAAGAGGAAGTTGGACGAGCTGGTCGACATCGCTCCTCCACAAACTGTAACGTTCGAAAGGGTGAAGGGCAGGTCAGAGCCCATCACCTTCTACCTGGAAGAACTCCCCGTCGGAGCCCCGAACGCGGTCATCCCCTTACTGATAAGGGCAAAAATGGTCAATTTTGACGTGCATCGCATCCTGGTCGACGAAGGGAGTTTCGTCGACGTGATGTACAGCCAGCTGTTTCGGACCTTACAACTGGACGACTCACATCTCTCTCCGTATGTGGGTTCGGATCTTCAGGGCTTCAACGGCTCGACTTCCAAACCGTGGGGTTATGTCGAGCTTCTGGTTACGTTCGGAGAAGGAACGGCTACGAGACAGGTTAAGGTCCGCTTCCTCGTCATTGATTGCCCGTCTCTGTACAATTGCATCTTGGGGAGACCAACACTGGCGGAGCTGACAGCGGTGCCCTCGACTGTCCATCTGAAGATGAAGTTCTATACCAAAAGGGCACGGGTAGCCACCATCCAAGGAGACCTCGCCGCTGCCCGCAGGTGCTTCAACGCTGCTTCAAAGGGACGGGATACCATCGACGTAGGGACCAGACCCACCAAGAGGATAAAGCAGGAGCCCGACAGAAAAGCATCCCCCGAGGAAGAAGTCCAGAAGGCCCCACCAAAGGTCGACTCCATAGCCCTCGACGCTCGCTTCGATCAGGACGAGCCATCCAGCAGCGAGCAAATCCCACTCCGACCTATTCCGGACGGTGATTTTGAACTCGTTCCTCTCGGCGCAGACCCGACCAAGGGAGTGAAGATTGGCAAAGACCTCCCCGACTTGGCCAGGAAGCAAATCAAGGCCTGTCTGCGCGAGAATGCTGATCTCTTCGCCTGGAGCGCTGCAGAGATGCCCGGACTCGACCCCGAGGTCGCCTGTCACCACCTCGCCATTGATCCAGCCGCCAAGGCCGTAGTACAACGTAGGCGTAGGCAGTCTCCAGAAAAAACGGAGGCTGCTGAAAAAGCTGTAAAAGACCTCCTAGAGGCAAATTTTATTTCTGAAGCCCGGTACTCCACCTAGCTGTCAAATGTTGTACTTGTTAAAAAGAATAATGGAAAATGGAGAATGTGTGTTGACTATACCGACCTCAACCGGGCTTGCCCGAAGGATGCTTTTCCTTTACCTAACATAGACATGCTGGTCGACAACTCGGCCGGCTACAAGACTTTGTCGTTCATGGACGCCTACTCGGGATATAACCAAATCCCAATGGCTCTGGGCGACAAACACTGCACGGCGTTCATGACCAGCTCGGGCAACTATTACTACAACGTAATGCCCTTCGGACTGAAAAACGCCGGAGCAACTTACCAACGTATGATGAACAGAGTGTTCTACAAACAGATTGGCGACATGCTCGAGGTATATATGGACGACATAATCGTCAAATCCCGAGCAGACACCGATCACGCAGCTCACCTCAAGACAGTCTTCGCCCAAGCAAGACAGTGCAAAATGAGGTTCAACCCCGAGAAGTGCACGTTCGGGGTTAAGGCAGGAAAATTCCTTGGATTATATCTAACAGAACGAGGGATTGAAGCCAACCCCGACAAATGTCGGGCATTCTCCGACCTCCCAACACTGACGTCGAAGAAGTCGATACAAATCATGAACGGCATGCTGACGTCACTATCCCGCTTCGTCGCGAAGTCCGCTCAGCACGCCCTCCCCTTCTTCAAACTCCTTCGAAAGGAAGCAGCCTTCGAATGGAACGAGGAATGCGAGCACGCACTTCGCCATCTGAAGCAGAGCCTGTCTCAACCGCCCGTGCTATCTCGACCAGACGACGGGGAATCGCTGTACTTATACTTGGCTGTTTCGAACGAA